ATGTCCTTGTTACTAGTAGCTTCTTCTTCCTAGTACGGCCAGGAGCCTGTAGTAGCGTCCTTGCTCCTAGTAGCGATGCCCTTGTTACTAGTAGCGATGCACCTTGTTACTAGTAGCTGCTTGCTCCTAGTAGTAAGGCCAGGAGCCCGGAGTAGCGTCCTTAGAGCACATTGAAAAATTGTCAACGTAAAAGGTGTCTTCAATGATGGCACACGCATTTTCCTTGGCACCCACGCAAACCAGCAGCGAGCAGCCGCAACATTTCACAATCCAGGTTGCAGTCTGAGAAACATAAGACCTTTCAATATGGCATGAAATTTGGAAACTCGAAAGATGAGGAAACATGAGGAACTAGAAATTAGGAAGAAACAAAAAACAAACCGTTTGATTTTTGTCGATGTTTATTTGCTCAAGTGCGTCTTGTTCCTTTGTTTGGCGTCGGCCTTGATGTTGCGGACAGTTGGTAGAAGAAGGCTTAGCAGGCCTAAAGAAACAAACATGTTCCAGCATATTTAATACCATTTGTGCATATGTTGTCGATACTGTTTGATTCTTTCAAGCATGCCCGCTATCGGAGCAAAAGAATGCTGAAACTCATGCGAAGGGGATGTTTGATGACCAAGGGATTCAGGGCCGCTCCCACCCGGCAGTTTTTCAGGCACAGGATAAACGGCTTGACAGTTCTGTTCTGTGCTTGACAGTTCCGCTTTGGTATCTGACAAGGACCTAAGAGTTCAGAGGCACGCTGACGATGAAGTGGAAGAAAAATCCACTTCAAGCACAGCATAGTCGTCCTCCGTCCCCTCATATGTCCAATCAATTATTTTTTCAGGATATCTCTATGCCGGGAGAGCACCCTCGCGTAAACTTTCTCCTGCGTCCGGAAAAGAGGTCGGGCGGTGGGCAACGGAGGAATCCTCAAAAGTGCAGTCCCACGTCACAAAGCTACTAGGAGCAAGGACGCTACTAGGAACAAGTGCATCGCTTCTAGTAACAAGTGCCTTACTAGTAGTAACAAGGACGCTACTAGGAGCAAAGGGCATCGCTACTAGGAGCAAGGACCCTACTAGGGGCTCCCTTGCTAGAGAGGTCGGCCAAGAAGGTGCCTGAGCTACCAAAAGCTTTGAATAATCTGTCAGCGCTGGATGAACTGCGCATCCGAGCTCAAGCCTCCGCGCGGGATCTTCGGTATAGGTAGAGGAAGAGCTGAAGTTGCACACGGGCGCAAGCTTCGCAAGCTTCACACGGGAGAGCGTCTGGGAGAAAGTAGATGCCGTCCACAGAAATCGGTCTGCCGGCCGAACCCGTCTCCTCTCGAACCCCGAGAGCAATCACGCAGAGAATCACGCATCCTGAATTGCGAAGGGTCCGCACAAAACATGGGCTTCCGGACGCGCCTGTCGAACAGATTCAGGAGTGCAAGAAAGGCGACAGCAAAGGTCAACACAAGAGTCAGGAAGATCCAGGACTCCAAAGACTCGGCGTTCCTCAAAGCACGAGCGGTGGAACAGGCGTGGAGAAGGTTGAAGATTTGGTCCTCCAGCAGGAACCGGGGGAGAAGGCAAGGGCCAAAGCGCAAGTGAAGCCAAACCAAACCCGAAGAAGAAAGGAAGAATCCTGTCACCAGGAAGGCCAGCAGGTATGGAAAAGAAAAACCGCAGTGAGCGAGCAACCTAAACCAAACCAATTGGCTGCACTCCTCCCGAACTGCATGAAGGCTTTGAGCCATCCGCATGGCGTTCAGAGTTAAACATCATATATACATGTAACATCATATGTGAACTCTGTGTGCCAAATGACGTTGAACTGGGAGTCAACACAACTAGGCCAAGAAGAGGAACCTGCCTGTTCCAAAGCCTCAAAAGGTTGTCCCTTACTCTCTTTGGCTCTGGCCCATGGACACGCGGTCAAAAAGAACAGACTTCGCAGAGAAGTTTGGTCCTGAAATGAGAGCCGACAAAACATTCTGAATTTCCTAGTACAAACGTGTTGCCAGCCTCTCTTTTTGACGGAAGAAAAGCGTCTCAACTCGGTCCTTCTTTGGCATGTTTTACTTCTTCTTGGGCCATGAACAATCCGATGCTCAATGATGCTCGAGTAAGGTCAGGAACCTCAAAGGCAACAAATGCGCCGATTGTTGCACAAACAAAGATCTTAGCCCGGAGCCAAGATCCCAACAGCGGCAACTTTGGACACAACAAACACACCATAAACCACCGACAACCGCAACCACCCGACCCAACCAATCCAACCCGCAGCACCGGCCATACAAAGTTAACATACGTTAACGCAGTCAAAAATTGTTCCACCAGCATTACCTGTTTGAAACGACATGGAGCAAATTTAGAATCTCGACGCGATCCGCTTCGTTTCGTTTCCACTCGACTCAAGGGCCCTTTCGGGGGCAGTGACAAACCCTGGTTCTGTGCACGCTGCACACTTCAAGGTGAAATCACATCCATCTTATCTACAGGCTTGTCACGCTGTACGCAGCTCTTTGTACCTCCAAAAGATTGAAATAGAATGACAAGATCACACACCAGGAAGGAATTCTTGGGACCGACCTCTCAGGTCTCAATTCCACTGATCACTGCTTCACCACTGGCCAACACGCGAATCAAGCAGTCCGGCCTCATGGATTTTGTCAGACAATCAGCGCTGACTGTTTTGCTTCCATCGGAGTTCATCTCCGCGCGGCTCATAGCAAACCGTTGTCCTTCCTCCGTCAAGCCACAACCCTTGTCGCAAGCTCATCTTGGACCTTGCGCGTCACTTCAGCGTTGAGGTGACGCTTAATCTTTCTCTGTTCGACATTGACTGAGCGCGTACAAAAAATTGCCCTCACGCGGTCTCCTCCCTCTACTTCTAACCTGGTTTGCGTTCATCAGGTCTTGTACTGTTGCCTTCGCACTGCGCGTCCTCTGTAGTTCATTCACCTTGTAGCAAAGGCCAGGTCTTCCATCTGCTCACCCATGACAAAGAACCAACCACACTCCTCAGACAAGTCAGGTTCCTCTACGCCACGACATCTGTCATCTTTCGTCCGGGCTTGATGGTCTGTAGTGTGGGTCCTGAGTGAAGCGTTTTACACAGTATTGAAATGAGCCTTCTTCAATCTTCCTGACTGAGAATTTGTCCAACACAGTCTGAACAGTCTGAACTGCGCGCGATCAAAAGATCATCAACTCAGTGCAAATCAGCGCAACAATGACGCCAGCATCATTCCATTTGAAGTAAGTTGCTGGACAAATCTTGGAAGCCTGAAATCCAGTAGCCAGGGTCTCAAAGCTACTGCTCAAGAAAAATCCTTTTGCGGCGCCTCTTGTCCCGTCTATTCACCGAGGCGTCCACCTCAAGGGGTCTGGTCGTCATGACAGGTCAGACCACCCCTGCGTTGAGACATCACCAGCAACCGTGTCCGCCTTCCACCGCGCGCGGCGTGAACGATGCAAAAGCAAATCGCCTTTAGGCTCGCTGGTCGGAGAGTCGCACCTGATCTCGCCTGAATCCACTGCCTCACAGTTCAAGCCACCAATCATCACGGATGTTCTGGTTGGCGTCAAGCTCTTGCGCTTTTCCCATTCCTTCTTCCGCGCTACCAGCACCAGCGCGGGTCACCTCATCAGCATTCTTAAGGTCCACTGTCCTCTGAACCTTGCCAATGCGTTCTTGCTTTTCGCCAAACGCTGTGCCGTGAAAGCTTACGCGATGCTCAACAAACTGCCATGCCCGAGGAAAGGTTTTGTGAATTTCTGACAATGGTGAAACCTGTCCACGTAGATGGTTCCGTCGGCAAACTTGCGGCGCACACGGCGCTGCTGTAAAGCACAGAATCCATCCAAGCGCTTCACACGCCACCGATCAACGGTCTGAAGTTCAGCCAGCATAACATCGCCTTCCAATGCTCCAGGCGTTGTGGGCACTGATCGGGCCGACTTGCCCGTCTTTACTCAGACTGACGCGGGTCTTCTTCTGGTTCACGTTTCTTTCCGCGCAGGTCCTTCATCAATTCTCACATACTTCTGCTGTAACAATCACCTCAGAGAGAACAGGGATGTTGTTCAGCAAAGACTATGCCAGGCTTTCAGCCGGCCACATTTGCACTGGCACCTTTGCCAAATTGCAAAAAATAGGAGTCCCTTCACACAACAACCATCGTCCTTGATGAGGGTCATGTCCAATAAAAGGGCGCGCTGTCGACCATGATGTTCCTCCTTGTTCAATGTCCCACAATTACACTACAATGTCTCCGACAGCACAGTCTCATGCCTGGGCCGCTGCATTCCTTGTCAAAGCACGCGCAACTCTTGTTGAAGTGTCCACTCATCCTCACTTTCTGACACTGGTGAAATCTGCACTCTCATTCGCGCTGTCCACTTTTCGAATTGCAGATGGTCTCTCAAGATGCGCAAAAACAACTTCACAACCATGACTTGCCAAAAGTGACATGTCTCCACGGCTGTGCACTGTTGATAGCCACTGCTTGGCAACTTGCACACATCTCTCACTTGACATTCCTCCACCTTTTGACAATCTCTGCAACGAGACATCCAATAGAGATGTCAACCATGCTTATCACACTGTACTTAGTTCCAGCAAGGACTGAGTTGAACTAGAAGTTGAAACTTGTTCCAACAGGAAGATCTATCGGCTTCTGCTTGGTCGCTTCACATGCCTGGCACCTGACAAGTCTTGCTGCTTCCACCAACTTTGCGGGGATGCCTTGCCTGCCTTCAGGGATTGAGCGCAATGCGTTTGGTGCTGGGTGTCCGACTTGCCAACGCAGCTGCTGGCTGTGGGAATTTCCCCGCAGTGTCCTACGGTTCATTCATCTGCGCTGCCTCCTGGCAACGCAGTACCAATTGCGCCTGCAACAAAAGATGCTGCGACAAAAGTATCAAAGTATCTTTTCTCAGGCAACCCCAAAAGCATATGGACTGCATATGCCCCCACGTCAACCTCATCCATGAGATCTTGCAGGATCATGGGGCTTGGGTCCCTCAAAATGGCAACCGACAAACCAACTGATTTCTCCGACAACGTACTGATGATCTTCCACCGATCGTTTGTCCAGTCTCCCAGCTCGATCACTTCTGCTGCGGTGTGTGTGTGTGCGTGCGCGCGCGCGTCCAATCCTGCTGGCAATCTGTCACAAACAACATGCGAGCATCCTCCACGGAAAATTTGCTACTAGACAGGTCACGGATTCATCTTGCTTCGCCGTTCCCATGGTAGAGCTTTTGCGCAGCAAATCATTACGCAGCGCATACGCTTCTTCTTATCCAGATCGAACATCTCCGGTGAGGTCGGGGAACAAGGAGACAGTGAGTTGCGAAGCTCGCCTTCAGTCGGTTTTGGGCTGAGGAGCTCTCGGTAAGGTCATTTTACACTTTGCTCGGAGGTCTGTCGTTCCCTTTCACAGTGAAACGCGGGCTCTTCAACAGGCAACTCAACTGGTTGAGGGTCAAGTTGCTCCTCAACCTCTTCAGCTCCATCAGCTCCTCCGCCTGGAGACATTGCCACTCCGGGCATGCCCGCTTCCGGCTCGGAGTCTCTCGGCGTTCGTCTTCACGACCAACAAAGCGTCCATCTCCTGAGGTGAACTTACCCAACTTGTAGTTTTCTTGGGTCCACTTCCTCTTTGTCCAATGTAGTTGGCTTCCCCCATGCAGAAGATCATCCGCAGCGACCCCAATGATGCCCTCCAATTTTCTTTCTTGATGTTCATCTCTATGATGGCCCTCTGGCTCATTGAATAGGAGGAATAAGCAGGGACCTGCTTGCGACTGTTCATAGCCCAGCTCCCGGAGGGTTCGTTGAAGGCGTACATAGGACTGGTATGGGCCATCTAACGATCCGTAGCAATGTTTCTTCAATTTGAGAAGTTGCCAGCCATGAACTCCATAGGAGGTCCTTCTGTTGGCAACTCTGCAAACAAACAAAAGGCAAGATATCTCATCTCCACTGTGAAAAGCTTGGGTGAAATCCAAGTACCCCGGTGTCCACTTCTTTGATCCGATGGTTTGGAGGATCAGTAACACTGTGTCGGCAGCGACCTGTGGTGTGGCTGCTTCGAGCCAGTCTGGGTCTGGTTCACTGAAGCCTTTCATGACACGTCTTGCTTTTGCTTTGGCTGAGTTTTTTCATCGGGTTCGTGGTCCTCCTCGCGGGCAACCCAGCGGACGAGCCTTTAGTTACTGACGGTGGCTTCAAGGCTCGGCAAAGGCGCAGAGAGCACTTCAAGTTTCAATTGCTTTTCTGCCAGCAGCTTAGAGTTTTCCACGTTTACTGACGCCGCGCCAACCGAACCCACCACACATGTTTCAGCAAACGGGGTGGACTTTGCTGCGCCTCCACCTGTCCTTAGCAGCACTAGTTCCGCATGTCACAGTGGCTTTGCTGGCAACCAGCATGATCGCGATGCGCGCATTTTTTGACAGCCTGTTGCTAGTCGACCAGGTTCTTCGGAGCTTCAGGTCCACCTACCTACCTACCTACCTTGCTTTTGCTCTGAACCCGCCGTATTCATCTTCACCGGTGGGCAGTCCATGCATCTCGGCTGGCGGGAACTTCATCTGGTTCTATTCGTTTCTCAACCAAGACGTAGCGGAATTGCAGGATATGGTGGCCTGCTCGACGAACTTCCTCTGATTCTTCCGGAGTCAAGATTTCTTGATGGCTTTCATAAATCTTTCTCGAGCTATTTCAAGAAGGTCCTTGAGCTTGATTTCTTGTTGGCCTTTTTGTTTCTGAACTATGGGAGCTATGGTCTTGTACATGATCTCGAACAGGTCAACTTGTTGTCGCTTCAGGGGGCCATGTTCTTCTTGATCTTCATCTGTTCCCTCGAAGGCCCGAGAGATGCCCTTCGGAACTTCTTCTTTGATCTCCTCAGTCCGGGCTCTCTTGTCACTGGTATCTTCTTGAATCTCATCTTCTTCAAGGGATGTTTTCATTCCTTGTTCTAGATTCTAGATCTTGTCCTGTGGATGATGAGTCCACCACTTGTGAGCTCTCCGTGGGTTGTCCGGTTTGTTGAGCAACCAGTCCTTTACGAAGCCCAGTACTTGTTCTCGTTGACGTGGATCTAATAGGTCGTCTCCAAGCCGTAGATCGAAGGCAGCAGTGGCAATCAGTCCTGCGCGGCGACAGTGCGGTGCAAACCGCTCTGGATTGAAAATCTTGACAACCTTCTTTGGGAGGTTCTAGCCATCTTAGCAAATTGTAAGTTGGACCTGACCTGATTCTTTCCTTCTCACAGTCCACTGCACGAATTGGTTCTTCCTCTCTCAGAAGCTTCACAATCTCGTTCATGTAGTTCTCGGCGTTGCGAAGTGATGCCTCCATGGCCTTCTGATGTTTTTCTCCCGTTTCTTTGCATGGTCTGATTTGGACTATTTCTTCGAGGCTCCTGTGTCCTCCTTTTTGACTGGCTTCTGTCCAGCCTTCCACCCCTGGTACTCAAGGAACTATATGAACTCCTTCTTCTCGACCTCCACATCCAAGGATGGTGACACTGCCAATGTCATCTCGACTTTGAGAGGATCCTTTTCTTCGTCCTTCTTCTTCAATGGGGCATCTTCCTTCCTCTCTGACTTCAGTGTCTTTCCGCGTCGAAGGCAGCGTTCCACCGATACAAAGGTGTTGGCGCCCCTCTTGGTTGTCTTTTTGCGTTCGCAGGTTTCTGGGTTCACCTGGAGGTCCACGGTCTCGATATCCTTCGTCGGTCCCTTCTTGTTTCCGCTCTTGGCTTGGGGAAACTTCTTCGGCATTGGGTATGCCGGTGGGGCATTCGTGGGTGATGACGTTGCCGGCGACGGACGATAAGTTGTCGACGGATTGTAGCTGGTCGGGCTCTTCTCCTCGGGTGATGGTGGAGGTGTCTGTTCCACCGGTGTTGAGGATCTCGTCACCCTCGTCATGGAGGTAGTCTTGGCTCTCCCCTTTGGCCACAATGAGAAGATCTTGTTGCTTCGGGTTGGTTCCACAGTTTCCCAACCGCTCTCTTCCGACTCGCCCTCCGTCTCCTCCATAGTCCCCACGTAGCGTCGATCTCCCAGTAGCATCTATGCCAGGTCGGTCAGCCTGAGCATCGCATAGTTAGCCCAGACGCTCGCGTACCTGCTCTCTTCGACTCGGCTGCGCTTCATGGCTTGTATACGGTGGAGTCGATGGCGCTGAAGGAGATGTCGCGTCGTCTTGATCACTGTTCAGCCTCAAGCCAAAAGTTTCTTCGTCTGGGGCTGTCTTCAAGGTTTCAAACTCCTCTGATTCGCGCTGAAGCTGTTCATGAAGCTTTTGAAGTTGTTCAGGTTGTTCTTTTGAGAACTGGTTCAACGGGACACGAAGGGCTCCTGCGCGACCTATGTGGCAATCCACTCAAAACTTGAACTTCCGTAGGTAGAGGCGGAGGCCTCTTTGGGTGTCTAGATAGAGGACTGCCGTGCAGTGAAGCAGGAACGGAAGTGAAATCAAAAATGGCGGTCTTGACTCCCCTTCCTTGAAGATGGCTTCCTTTGATTCCCAAACTCGTCGGAACAGCAGCCGAATGGGTGGTGGCAGATGTGCCATTGACCGATCGAAACCGATGTTCTTCAAAAAATGTACCCACTTTCAAGATGCGCGGCAATTTAGAGGCCAATCGATATAGTGTGTCTGCTCCCACGGCCATCCTTTGGCACCCGGTGTCGATCGCGGCACAACCATCGTCATTGATTCTTTCCATCTTCATTTGACTCGAGTCCTGCCGAGTGGTGTGGCTCCTGGCTTTCTGCCGGGTTGACGGGTTTTCATGATTCTCGGATGCTCCCCCGTGCAAACCAGAACCCCCAGTAACAAAAACATCATGTTCTTCCTCCCCAAAACCCTTTCCAATTCCCAAACATTGGGCCTTATATTCAGATTGAAGCGCGTTCGGTTCTCCAGCTTCACTGTGGGAGCTGACTACTACATCAAAAATCTTCCGCTCACCTGCAGGCTCAGTCGGGCTTTCGCTTGGCATGGACACCGGAAATGTCCTTCTTCTCTTTTTCCTCTGGGGGGCTCATAACTCATCCAAATGGCGGTATGGGTCTCCATAAATCTCCTTCAGTTCTTGCTCTTCTGGTTCTGCGGTTTCCAGCAGTCCGCAGAAGAGCGCTTCTTCTGAAGTCTCTAAGGGCATGGTCTCCATGTAGTTGGCCTTTCCCTTTAGTCTTTCCATCAGGGCATTCTCGATGCCAGTTGAGCTGTTCAACCTTTCCCTTGTTTTCCTTTATCCTTCCTGAACCTTTCCAGCCGCCAAAGCCTCTGGCCAATTCCTTGGCCTTCTTGAGCTTCATGCTCTGAGAGAAGGTTCTTTTCTGTAGCATCGTGTTCATAACTTCTCGAACTTCATGTTCTTCCAGTGGATCACCCTCTGTTCCAAGGTCTTCTTCTTGTTCGAGACCTTCATAGTCGCCATCGAGCTCCTCAAGCACGCCTCGAGGACCTCGTTCTCATCGTTGTACTCGGCGTGCTCATCGGCCATCATGTGGTGCACGGATGCCGTTGAAGCGGTACTCGAAGTAGTTTTCTTGTTCTTGGAGGTTTCAACCCCAACTTCCTTGGCCATGAGTTTTGTCTCGCATTTTCTTACCCATTCCTTGACATCCCGAGTCGCGACGCTGCCTCGGGTGAAGTTCATCAGATTTTTGATGTCTTGTTCACTCATTTTCAGGGCGTTGATCAGTAGAAATCCTTCGCAGGCATCCGGCAGTTCCACTTTGCGGGCATCGAGACGGCATAGCGCCTCCTCCCATCTGAATCTATTATTGAAGAAGCCCCGACGCTCTTCATTCTTCTCTCTTCGAAGGTGGTAGGTATCTTTGCGAGGGAGCTGAAAAGATCCTCTTCTTTGTCATCTCCGAAGTTGTCGGGGAGGTCCATGGCATTCAATAACCGATGTACTCCTTGGTCATCTTGCAGCCAGTTCACGTCCTTTGCCCAATGCTTGAACGTGTGGAAGGCCACTCCAGAAAGTCCCTGCAGCATCATGGGACCCTGCGACTTCTTGCGGACCTTCGTTGTGGCCAACCAAAGCCTGGCCTTGATCAACCAGTCCTGGAAAGGGATGCTCTCTCCATCCCATTCTGGGGCTTTGGAGGCTGCTCCACCACCTCCAATCTCCATCGTCCTCAGCCCAATCACCTCCTCGATCACGTCCACGTTGCCTATGTCGACGTTCTCGAAGAAACTCACGAAACTCATCACTATCAAAATCTTCGGATGCGCCGTACACCACCACCTCGTCCACGAGGATCACGTAGCCCACCTGGGTTGGGTGGGCCTCTGCCCCTTCTCTTCCATCGCTCTGAGGAACAGGTCGAGCTCGTCCATCCGCCATGGCTCAACTACGGTCCTATGGAGCTTTATGCTCCACTACCACTGTAGACGGAACATGCGGTCTTTTTCAATCGCACAGCAGGGTCCCAACCCGACTTTGTGCCAGCGAGCAATGTACACTTCTCGATGCGTGTCGACGGTGCTGTCCAATTCACAACTCAATATACCTGTTTGGGTTGGCCTTGGCTGTGAAGCAGTAGAAAGGTGAGGAGCCCCTAGTAGCGTCCTAGTAAGGCAGGAGCCCCTAGTAGCGCCCTTGTTCCTAGTAGTGCCCCTAGTAGCGTCCTTGTTCCTCGTAGTAAGGCCAGGAGCCACTGGTAGCGTAGTAAGGCCAGGAGCCCCTAGTAGCGTCCTTGTTCCTGGTAGTAAAGCCAGGGGCCCTAGTAGCATCCTTGTTCCTAGTAGTAAGGCCAGGAGCCCC